TGAACAAATATTTGTAGAAATAAGGTTTCTCATGTCTTAAATAGAAAAACCCTAAGATTTAAACAGCTTAAATCTGTTACAATTCCAAGATTTGTTGAACATTACAAACCCCATTTTCTTTTGTATTTGTATAGCGCCCTTAGATATGCTTTAACGATATTTAATAATGTGCATGTGTGTGAAAGATTTAAGGATTTTCAAAATACATATATATAATTTTGTTCTACACAAATTGTTTTTAGGGGCAGGACCTAGTATGGGAAGCGAAATTTCTGTACATAAAAGCTATATTTCAGTCAAATTTTGTATCTATATCGTAATTTAGTAATAAGTAATGTGTGTTCAAGTGATTTTCTGAAGGGACACTTGCATGGGACCGACCGCACCCATGTTATGGACCGATCGTGAAAAAATCTTGAAATAGAATTTTTGTATACCAAACTAATATTTGTGCCAAATTTTGAATCAATAGCTTTATTTGGTAATGAGTATTGTGTGTTTAAGAGATTTTCGTAAAAGGGCCTTGTATGGGAGCTATGACCAATTATGTATATAAAGACAAAATTTCAAAATTCTGTATCTATATCATTATTTGGCAATGCATATTGTGCACTTAAGTGATATTCTGGAGGGGACCTAGTATGAGAGCTATGACCAAATATGGACCGATTGCAAAACAATTTTATAGTGTAATTTATGTATATAAGAGCAATATTTGTGCTAAATGTATGGATATCAATATTTTGTAATGAGTTATGTTCGTTTAAGTGATTTTTGGGAGGTGACCTTGTATGGGAGCTATGACCAATTATGGACCGATCGGAAAAAACTTCCATAATAATATTTCTGTATATGTGAGCAATACTTGTACCAAATTTTATATGGATATCTTAATTTAGTAATGAGTTATGTGCGTTTAAGTGATTTTCGGGAGGGGACCTTGTACGGGAGCTATGACCAATTATGGACCGATACAGAAAATTTTTTTCTAAATGAATTCTATTGACATAGAATTTTAATTTGTAAAATTTTGTGAAGATATCGACATTGTGATGGAAGTTATTAACGAAAAACCCATTTTCCGGGAATATGTACTTTTGTATGGGAGGTATATGAAATTGTGGACCGATTCTGGCAATTTTCTGCACGGATCAAGATCTTGTGTAGAAACGAATGTATGGTGATTTTCATGGAAATATCTTGCATAGTTTTGGAGAAAATTACATTAGAATATGTAAAAAATGCTTATTTTTTTCGAGGTTGTTTTAAATTTTGATTCATAACTTTTCCCGATGTGAACCGATTTTGCTCATTTTCAATACCAAACTATACCGGATAATAATGAATATTTTGGGTGAATTTGGTTAAATTATATTGCTTCGTTTTAACGTGAACGTGTTTTACACAGACAGACAGACAGACAGACGGACGGACGGACGGACAGACGGACATAGCTAAATCGACTCAGAATTTCATAAGGACCCAGAATATATATACTTTGTTGGGTCTCAGATGAATATTTCTTGGTGTTACACACGGAATGACAAAGTTATATATACCCTCTATCACCACTGATGGTGGTGGAGGGTATAAAAATAACAGTTATGTTAAAGTTTATTACCAACGAACATCTTAGAATTTTTGTTGACTGTACCTATTTTTAACGTAAATTCAATTTCGTTACTTTTCAGTTTTTTTACACATTTAGTCGATTTTTAAACATCTTTACATTTTGAATTGACCTTCAATTGTCTTCTTAAATTTTTAACCAATGCCGAATATACAGTGGGACGAAATACGGTGCAGTTTTAAAAATAAAAAAATGGGTACTTTGAAACCATAGCTGTAAAATTTCGATTACGATTAATAATCAATTAAATTATTTTTCAAAAATAATCGTAATGATTATTTAATTCTCTGGTATAAAATTTCTGATTATTATCATCAAATAATTAATTTGATTATTTTCAATGATTAATTTTGATTATTTTTGATTAATTTCAATATATTTGGTACAATTCTCTATCTTTTTACATTACGTGTAATGGAAAACTGTTTTTCAAGTTACACACTATTCGATTATATGACTGTTTTATTGAAAACAATATATTTATCAAGTTTATTTCGATTGATAATCTTGATCTCAGTACAAGATATTAGAAAAAAAATTACTGCAATCTTTTCGAAATGGGTCTCAAAAAATCCGTAATTTTTAGCGGATTGCCGGAAAAATAATTTAATTTTTCTTAGAGTTTTTTTTTGGGAGGAAATTATACTAAATATATGGAAAATAATCAAAATTAATCAAAATTAATCCTTGAAGATAATCAACTAATTTTTTGATTAATTTTGTGTTTTTTTTTATTATTTTCATTAATTCTAATTAATCCCTGATTATTTTTAACCGTAATCAATAATTAATTAAAAAAATTGAAAATAATCGTTAATTAATCATTCATTTTACCTATTTAATAAAAATAATCTAATTAATAATGATTACGATTATTAATCATTATTTTACAGCTATGTTCGAAACACTATGTAACTGGTATAACTTAACATTAAAAAAATTTAATTTGTTAGGATAGTAACGATATTGGAGCAGAAACATAATAATTACAATAGACTTTTTAATTTCTGTAAATAATTTTTTCAGTCCACGTGTTAGTTTTTGAACAAAGCTGCTGAGAAATATACCATCTGAATTTTGATTTTTGAAAAAATTTTGTAATTTTGTTTCAGCGTTTCTACCGCGTAAAAAATACATTTTTGAACGGAAAAGAGACTTGAATCAATAACAAACTATTTCTTTCACATTATTCTATACAAACAAATTTATTTCGGAGAACGTCCTTTCCAACACGTTAATTTTAAAGTGGAAATATTAAAATTTTAACAAAATTTCAAAAACCATTTTTCGTTAGTTTTAAAAATTCTTCATTTTTAGAAAAATTAAGAATACAATCCAAATGAAATTTGGCATAACATTGCAGAAGGTAAACAAAAAAAATATGACCAATTTTTTTTTTCTTAACAATCGCTCGTTTAAATTTAATTTCGATTTTTATAAATATTTTTATTTGGTTCAATAAATGTTTTTGTTTGAGTTATGTTTTTATGACTGTATAATGTATAGAAGAATAAAACAACTTTTGGAATGTACTAAAATGAATTGATATAATTCTTTTTGTTTTATAACATTTAATGTATAAGTATTTCAGTTATAACAGTACAAAATAATAGTTTCAAAAATGAGAAATCAAATTTGGGGTTTCTTACATTACACGTGTTGTAAGTAAAAAAATAAGTTTCTCCTTTTCAGAATTCAAATTATTTGTAGATTTGGTAAACAAATTTGCTAAATTATATATGAAAAATTCAGCAAATATTTTACTTCTTTCTATTAACATATTTGATTTAAATCTAAAAATTTTTCAATAAAGATTTTTGCCGATTCTAGCAAAAAATTTGTTTGATAATTAATTTTAAATTTAACAAAATTCATGTTTGTTTTGGTTAAAAATTTTTTTGAAATTGTAGTGAATTTTTAATAAATTTTTTAGCTAATAGCTTATTTTTGATTGAAAATTATTTTTTTTCAATTAATTCTGTGCGAATCTGTTTACTAAATATGCATTTGGTTTGCTGAATTCTTGTACTGAATCGTAAATTTATTCTTTTTTGTGTAGTCACGCTCTCCATATTATTGTAATTGGAATATAATTTTAATATTGATAAAATTTATTTGAAACAATATGTTATCAGAAAATTTTGTATGGTTATTCCAATTAATTTACATACATATAAATTTGTTAAATAATTGGAAAAATAAACTGTAGTGCCTGGACTTCAACATTTTAAAATTTTGTCTGGCTTAAAAATTTAATTTGTGTATCTGTTGAATACAAAGCAAAATATAATTCGAAACCTGATAAAATAGGAAAATTATGTAAAAATGGTAATAATTTTGCTTCAAAAAAAAAAAAAAAAAAAAAAAAAAAAAAAAAAAACAATTTAATACATACATAACAAATTTCATACATTGCAAATATGTATAAATATTATGACCAATTTTATATCTTCTACATATTAGAATACTTAAAAAAATTCCGCAAAAAATGCCATTAAGCCTTTCATTACATACAACAAAACTTATTATCTGAGATTATCCATTAACCAACAAGTATTCGTTATTTTGTTGGTCACATTTCAGCTATTTATGGATTAATTTTGCTTATTTGTTATGAATGTAAACAAATTTCATCAAAAGAAAAAATACCTATCAAATTTAAAAGTCTAAATATTTTGTTCTCCTTCAGTATCTAGTGTACAACCCAGCAAAAACTCGGTAATGGGTTCTACTTCTATAACCACTTACTTTTCAATGACTACTACTTATCGTCTACATTACTTAGAAGTACTCTAGTAATGACTTTCTTATAATCTGATATAGAAGTACTTTTATCGGCTTTATCATTTTGTTTGCACATTTTATTTAATTGCGTGTTAAGAATTGTGTTTTACAAAAAAGAAAACGAAATAAAATTTGTATGTGAAAACCATTATTTGACGCGCAATAAAATAGCTAAGCATTGGTGCAGTGAGTAGAACATTTGATTAACAAACCGAAGTCCCTGGTTCGTATTCTAGCTGGCGCTTTTTATTATTAAAAAATAAAACAAATTACTAAACAACTTCTTTGTAAGAGAAATTGCAAGTACTTCTTTTACTCCCTATTTGTAAGCAAGCGTGGAAGTACTTGCCTCCAGTTACACCACCGTGTTAAAACAATGACTTAAAATGCTAATGAAGAAGTAGTGAAAAGAGGTTTTATTAGCTTTTTAACTCATTATTTTTCAATGTAAGTTTTTCCTGGGAATATATATTCGTTCAATGTTGATAAAATTATATTCAGTATTTAAGTGAAAGCAGTGTATTATTACTTCCACGAAACGAAATAATAGCAATGCATCTTATAACAATAGTTACATATGGTTTACCTGGTTGTTGCTGTTGTTGCGCCAATTGCTGTAAAAAAATTTCCTGTTGCTGAGGCTGCATTTGAGGCGTTACTTGTGTTTGATGTGGAAATGAAAATTGTCTAAATGAAAGTATTGCAGGATCCATTGCTGTCCAATCATTTCCTGAATAACCTATAATAAATAATAAAATATAATTATTTCACTTTGCTTGATATTTGCCGAAACAAACATATATGCATGCATACATATGTATAATATAATTTGGCACTCTGTTCCATTCAGAGAGTACTATGTATGTGTATCCCATTCGGAACCATGTTGTTCAAAATACATATATAGTAAAAAGAGGACATATCATTCGTGACAAAAACGGAAGATATTTTGAGGTACATGTAAAAATATAGGAGAGTTTGACGAGTTGTGTGTAAATTCAACACACATGTGAGAACTTACTTCTCTCTCAAAACATTTTCTCGCAAATATCAGGATAATAGGCCTTGCAAGATATTTTTTTCACAAACACATAACATTGTGTAGTTTTTTACACACTTTTACCGTATTTAACAGCCTGAAATCTTCTTATTTTTAACAAAGGAAAAAAATATATTTTTGAATTTTTTTGACAATTAATTTTTGTGTGTTGAAATTAAAATTGAAAAATCGAAGTTGTAAATTTTGGTATTGAAAGTAGTAAAATATTTAAAATAAACTTAATTTTTTCAAAAAAGTCTTAAAGTCCGAAAAATATATTTATTAAATATTTACTGATCAGATGTAGGCTAAAAAATTTAAAAATCTGCGAAAGTAGAAATTTAAATGTTATATATTTTCCTAAACTTTTTAAGTACGATTTTATGGAACTATCTTTGTTTGGAAACAGTGGTGAAAGTAGTTGGAGCAAAAAATTCGACCAATACATTCTTAGAGCTAGATGCCGAATGACAACACCTTTAGATACCAACTGACAAGCCCCAATTTCTTTTTATTCTTTGCCTTAAGCTATGTATAAGATACTTGTTTATCCCTTAAATATTAGTGTATTTTGATGTTGTAAAATATTCAAGATACTCAGAATTTTAAAAAAATTTGTTCCCTTTTCTGAAAAAATTTTTTGAGTTGTGTCACTTTCATACTGGGTGTGCGATTTGTAAGACAGGTATATAAAATTGAGGACCGATTCCCGCAATTTCAACAGTAATCAAGTTTTCGCAGAGAAACAAATGTGTGATGATTTTTATGGAAATATATTACATAGTTTTTGTAAAAATTGCATAAGATTGTTTTTAAGTAGAAACCGTAACCGATTATGGCCAATAGGCTAGGTTTATTTTGGAAAATAAATTAATTTTTTCGGATTTTTTTTACATTTTGATTCATAACATTTTCCGATGTAAACCGATTTTGTTCATTTTCAATACCAAACTGCCTAGGAAATTGAGTGAATTTCATTAAATTTTGTTTCTCCGTTTTAACGTGAGAATGTTTTATACAAACAGACAGACGGACATAGCTAAATCGACTCAGGATTTCATAAGATCTAAGAATATACATATATATTTTGTTGATGAAGATGAAGATTTCTCAGTGTTACACACGGAATGACAAACTTATATATACGCTCAATCACCACTGAGGGTATAATACCTAAAATGAAAATATTTTATTTATTTTCAATCTTAATAATATGATCTAATTTTTAAAAGATAATTAGTTTATAAATAGTTATATGAACTATTGATTTTGAAATTGGTAAGAGTCCAATTGTTTCTGAAATTATATATATGTAAGTAGAAGGTATTGCATTTAATGTTTTTAAAATTCTGTGTGGCACAGGAAAGGATAATTTCCCAGAAAAAAAATATCAGAAAATATAAGCGATAAAATTGGGTAGAAGCAATACAATGCTTACTTAATTAAAAAAGCTTTCAAAATGCAATAAAGTAAGGCAGTGGTTTTTTAATTTTTAAAGTTCTGGTATATCTTATTAGTATGCTTCATAGAATACATACTTTATTGAATATTATTATGTCGGTGTTGCAGAAAAGTTTTAGAAAATCGATTTTTGGAACTTATTTCTAAATCTTTATAATTTTTTATATTTTATCATAATATTCACCTGTGTGTCCATGTTAACCTTGTGCGCACGGAACAGCTCGCCATTTTTGAGAAATTTAACAAAATCATCCTCAAATGGGGCAAGTACGAAGCCTATTGGAAATTTTTAAAATCAGTACATTATTACACATATCCCCATATAACCGGACATTTCGAATTGGTTTCGTATAAGCATAAGAGAGTCAAGATTGGGCCTCATTTGACCTTAGCTCTATACAAACGTCCTTTGAGAAAAATAAAAAATTATGCGAAGTTCATCACACCCTCCTGTACCATATTTTAAATATACTCATATCTTAATCATGTCCTATATACTTTCTTACTTTTTTTCATTTCTGTTGTTTAAAAAGAAATTGTTGCTAACGTGCGATCAAATAAAATTGACAAATCTAAACAAGTAATTGTTTATATTTTTTGGTTTGTTTTATTTTTTTAGAATTTTCTTATGAAGTAAGAAATATTGAGAGCATGACTTGGTATAATCCAAGAAGAAATAAATCTTAATAAAAAGAGAGTCTGCCTTATATTAGTGCTTCGCGCGTTCATTAAAGTAAGGTAAACGATGGTTTTTTTTTATTAAGTTGAATTAAAGTACAGAATTATTAGATGCTACAGAAAATAAAAATATACATACATACATATATACAATTCAGTTATTGATTTGATCTTAAAGCGAGTAGAGCTGACGTAAAAATGTAAATGTTGTGAAGAGTAAAAAAGTGTTCATCAATAAATAATACCTAACTGTAAAACAAAAGGCACGTATTGTATTTTATGATAAATTTTAAAAATATATTAAGGTGTGGGGTATTCAATACTCCGTATGGCCGAATTTCACACAGCAATTTTATATACATATTTACCCACTTACTATATTTATATGGACACAAATCACAAAATATTTTCTTATTTTTCAGCAATATGGGTCGAATAGAAATTAAACAAGTTGGAGTGCTATATTCGGCTGAGCCGAATCTTAAATACCCTCCACCAGCTACTTTTATATTAGTACTTTTTTAATTGATCAAATATTTGTAGACAAAAGTTTTCTCATGTCTTAAATAGAAAAACCCCAAGATTTAAACAGCTTAAATCTGTTACAATTGCAAAATTTATTGAACGTTACAAAAGCCATTTTCTTTTATATTTTTAAAGCGCCCTAAGATATGCTTTAGCGATATTTAATAATTTGTGTGAAAGGTTTAAGGAAATTCAAATTTTCGGGGCAGAACTTAGTATTATGGACCGATCGTAAAAAATCTTTAAGTAACATTTCTGTATATAAAAGCTATATTTCAATCAAATTTTGTATCTATATCGTAATTTAGTAATAAGTAATGTGTATTTAAGTGATTTTCGCACCCACATTATGAACCGATCGTGAAAAAATCTTAAAATATAATTTTTGTATACAAAACTAATATTTTTGCAATATCAATTTTGCAATATCAATAGCTTTATTTGGTAATGAGTAATGTGCGTTTAAGAGATTTTCGTAAGAGGGCCTTGTATGGGAGCTATGACCATTTATGGCCCGATCGTAAAAAATTCCACAGTAACATTAATGTATATAAAGACAAAATTTTGATTTTATCATTATTTGGTAATGAATATTGTGCATTTAAGTGATTTTCTGGAGGTGACCAAATGTGGACCGATCATGAAAAAATTTTATAGTGTGACTTATGTATAATATTTAGTGATGAGTTATGTGCGTTTAAGTGATTTTCGGAAGGGAACCTTGTATGGGAGCTATGACCAAAAATATGAACCGATCGTGAAAAAATTTTGAAATAATATTTCTGTGCACAAAAATAGTATTTATAACAACATTTTTTATGAATATCACTATTTGGTAATGAGTTGTGTGTCTTTAAGTGTTTTTCTGAAGGGGACCTTGTATGGGAGCTATGAGCACAGTAACATTTTTGTATATAAGAGCAATACTTGTAAAACAATTTATATAGATATCTTAATTAAGTAATGAGTTATGTGCGTTTAAGTGATTTTAGGGAAGGGACCTTGTATGGGAGCTATGACCAATTATGGACCGATCGGAAAAAAGTTCACAGTAATATATCTACATATAAGGGCAATACTTGTACCAAATTTTATATGGATATCTTAATTTAGTAATGAGTTATGCGCGTTTAAGTGATTTTCGGGAGGGAACCTTGTATGTGAGCTATGACCAATTAAGGACCGATCGGGAAACAATTTCACAGTAACATTTCTGTATATAAGAGCAATACTTGTACCAAATTTTATATGGATATCTTATGAGTTATGTGCGTTTAAGTAATTTTCGGAGGGGACCTTGTATGGGAGCTATGATCAATTATGGACCGATCGGAAAAAAATTTACAGTAATATTTCTGTATCTAAGAGCAATACTTGTACCAAATGCTATGAGCTATGTCCAATTATGGACCGATACAGAAAATTTTTTTCTAAATGAATTCTATTGACATAGAATTTTAATTTGTAAAAGTTTGTGAAGATATCAACATTCTGACGGAAGTTATTAACAATAAACTCAATTTCCGGGAATATGTACTTTTGTATGGGAGGTATAAGAAATTGTGGACCGATTCCGGCAATTTTCAACAGGAATAAAGTCCTCGTGTAAAAACAAATGTATGATGATTTTCATGGAATTATATTGCATAGTTTTCGTGAAAATTACATCAGAATGTCTAAAAAATGCTTATATTTTTCGGAGTTGTTTCAAATTTTGATTCATAACTTTTCCCGATGTGAACCGATTTTGCTCATTTTCAATACCAAACTGTCTAGGACAATAGGGAATATTCTAGCAAAATTTCAATAATTTATTTTACTTCGTTTTTACGTGAGCGTGTTTTACACAGACAGACAGACGGACGGACGGACAGACGGACATAGCTAAATCGACTCAGAATTTCATAAGTACCAAGAATACATATCGTCATATGAAATCCAAAAAGCTCACATTGAACAAATTTTTCAGGAGAAGCAAAAAACCGCCTAAAATGATAAATAAACCAAAAATGTTCAACATTTTCTCAAGTTAAGCT